TAATTTGGGCTACAACAATATAAATGAGCTACGTAATGGGCTATACAAACTAGAGGTGCACATTGGTGGGTTAGAACGAAAACCGTTTTTTTACCGGTTCAATTTTTAATCGTTTTTAATCAAGTTCGGTTAAAACCGGTTTAGTTTTCTTAGTTTTTCTAGGTTTCAAATAAATAACCTGTCTAACCGATTTCAATTATAAAAAATATTTTTTTAAACATGTTTCCGCTTAACCAGTAAAAAAACATTTTTTACTCAAATTTTACTCCAACAAATTTTGAACATGGATTTACATAAAAACAACATCGTTTGAACTTCGAATTACATAAGAAACAATATAGTTTGAGCTTCCAATTGCATAAAAACATAAACGTTGAAACTGAAAACACTAGCAATTTAGGGATGTCAACGGGGGAAAATAGGAAGGGGGTTTCATTTCCTGTAGAGGTGTGCAAAAAAACCGCAAAACCGAGCCGATCCGGCCAATCCGAAACCGAAAAAACCGAACCGAAATAAAACCGAAACCGAAATAAACCGAAACCGAAAAAACCGTATACTTACGGGTCGGTTTCGGTTTGGATATTTAGATATCCGTGGATATCCGAACCGAACCGTTATATATATATATATATATATATATATAGATATATATATATATATATAATATATATATATATATTTGAATTCTGTCTATGTCCATTATCCAGTTTCAAATTAATGCATTAAGCAAACAACAATTGCAAATTGCAAATACAACTCAATTGTCCACTGCCCACACAATACTCACGAAAATTGGGATTGCAATTCAATTAGACGTGATTATTAAATTATTAGATTCATAAATCTTAAAGTGTATATGAATGATTTTTTATCAACTTTATTTATCTTATTCGTAAAATGTATGTTTTAATAGCATTGATTTTTTTATTAATTTATGTGAGTTTTTGATTTTAGGAATAAAATGGTTGAAAAGGATTTTGTAGTTTTGAATAATTTTTATTTTTTACAATTAGCGGGTATCCGTGAACTGAACCGTGGTTACCCGCCTTTATACGGTTCGGTTCGGTTCGGGTTTTTTAGAAATACGGTTCGGTTTCGGTTAGTGCACGGTTCACAATTTTATTAGTATCCGAGCCGAACCGCCTCGTAAACACCCCTAATTCCCTGCCCCGAAAATTCCCCCGTTCCCCCACCACTGATTGATTTTGCGTTGCTTTTTTTGCGTTGAAAGAAGTTCGTTTTTGGGCTAAAAGAAACTATTTTTTTGGATAAAAATAGTTATTTATAATAAAATTTTATATGATAAAAAAATTTGTTATGACATCTCAAAAACATTATACTAAAAACTTACAAACATGATTGTTTGCTGAATTTTGGTAGCTCAAAATCATGAAGTTAAAACGGGGGTTAACCCTGCTCTCGTGCCCGATTTTTTTAAACAAATATCTCCATACGAGATCGGGATCACGCGGGAGCGGGGTCCCACGAGACTTTTTGATATCCATATAGCAATTATAGTTTTGGAATTGGTTTTCTTTATGAAATTGAACATTTTTAATCCAATGACTCTTCAAAATCACACTCATCTCCCTCGGTCATTGGAGGAGATATCCCTTGTAGTGCAAGCTCTTCTTCTCGGATGAACTCTTCGACATGTGGTAAAAGCGGTCATTCAAGCGAAACGTAATTTTGTATCCTTTCAATGTCTTCTAAATAATCCTTCAAGAAAATGCGTACTCTTGTAGATTGGGGGTTCCTATATTGTACATATAGTTTTTCCAGGGCCGGCCCATGGGCCAGGGCAAGCTGGGTGACCGCCCCGGGCCCCCAAATGCCAAAGGGCCCCCCCTTTTTTTCTTCTTATATTGGATTTGATGGTGTTATCCCATTGTTTTTAAGCCTAATGGACTGGCCCAATAGTCCAATATTGATCGCGTGCCAAAAGAGGGCGACGAAAGCGAGATTACCTAGCATGCGTGAGTTGTCAATTTCCTATTTTCAAGGCTCATCAACACTGATAGATTACAGTAATCGATTTCTATGGAAACTCTAAACGTCATCGATTCCACTTCTCCAACCAATGGTTAGTTCTTCACTTGTTTTAATTGTTATTGGATTTCTTAATGTTCTTATTTTATTTATGAGTTCCATTTCTTCTTATGTTTCCCGTTTTGATTCTTATTCACCTGACGATTTCTTATTCATCCCTTCTTATTTCTGATTTTTTATATCTTCAATCGCATCGCTGCACGGATGCACCAAATGAGAGGCATTAGGATTTCTTTTGAATTTGAACCTGTAGAATCGAGAGTCACTAATATTTCTTTCTGAATTGGAAGTTCGATAATTGAGAGTCAGAGACGCAATTGGTTTATGAATCTGAATTTTTGTAAGTTTAAAGCTTCTTGAAATTTCTTATTCTTCTAAATCTGATTTTGCCTTTCTGAATTTCCATTTTTTTCTTACACTGTAATACGAATTTCTATTTCTTACACTATGTAATTTGCCTTGGTTTTTTGTAGCTGTACAATGTCATATCATCAAAACGAATGGGGAATTGTTGGATAATCTTTGATTTTAGTGGATTTGTTGTTGTATAATAATCATTGAACCTTGTTATTTCAGGTTTTCTTCCCAAAGTTCAATGATTTTTTGGTGATGTAAGTGAGATTTTGACTGATGTTATCTGCACGGCAGCACATTGCTCAAGTTATCTCTATTGTTCATTCAAAGGGTTTTAAGTGCTTATTGGTTGCTGATGTACAATAATTTAAAGTACATGACCATTTGAATCTATTGGCAAGGGCAATCATGGAAAAATAAGTATTTTTTAAATTGTTACTGCCTTCTTCGTTCATACTTTATGAAGTTAAATTGTTATCCATTTGTTGCAAAGGGTAAAAATGGAAAAATAATTATTTTTTTCTTGGTTGTAGCAGCTGACTTGCAAAGTATTTTTTTATTCATTTGGTTGATCATATTCCTCATTTTTGTTTTGATTTAGAGCTTCAGTTTTGGACATTTTTTTTACAAAAGTAAAAAGTCATCATAAATCTTTTATTGGTATTGTTGTATACACTTATTAATTTATTATAGTAAAAAACAAATATGCCGTGAAAGTCATTTTAATCTCTCTTTAAACCGAACCAAACAACCTCAAACCGAATTAATCAAAACCGATTACACCATATTATTTGGTTTTGTTTACGTGTTAAAATTAAAAAAAAACTATTAAACCAATTGAATAAACTAAAAACGAATTAAACCGACCAAGTAACACCCTTACGAGGCCCAAATTTTTATTTTGCCCCGGGCCTCAAATGGGCTTGGAACGGCCCTGAGTTTTTCGAAGGCATGACGGTTCCTACGGAAACCGAATGCTTGAGAGAATGCATTTCAACATCGAGAATAGAGAGCGTTTTTTACGGGTGCTGAAATTAACCAAATAAATCAACACTTATTTACCGTTCTAAAAAAAATCTACACTTATTTATACTAAAAATAAAGGGGTAATATGGTATTTTGGGCTTAAAAATGATAATAAGAGACTATAAATAGACCAAAAGAACGGTTTTTACTAGTAAAAAACGATTTTTATCAGTTGAAAAACTAATCTCCTAAAAATTCCAAAACTTATAAAGAACCAGAGGTCCGGTTAAAATCAAACCAATTGGGAAAACCGGTAACCGTTTTTTTCTACTGTTAAAAAGAATGGTTCATTTGTACACCTCTAAATAATGTACACTAATAATTTAGAGATGTCAAACCTATCATATTACGATCAAATTACTATCATATTATATATACATCAGTCCCAACAACATATTTAAAGTTGTGAAACATATTATATGTTAAAAGTTACGAATATGAAAAGACACATAATATATTCAATAAAACATAATAAAAATGAAAACAATGGAATAGACGTGTGAGAGAAAAAGGATTAACATAAAAAAATCAAACCAGTCATATTATCAAGCTTATTCATGTATATAGAAATCCTTCTCTCCCTCTAGAATTTCCGTAATCGGTTATAACTTTCACCAGCACCACCAATGACATATAGACACCTACCGCATCACCACTTTGATGAAATCAAAGCACTAAACCAACACTCTCTGGTGCGCATTGATGTGAGCTATCCTTTTTAATTATCTTTTCCCATTTTTTGTTTTGGGTGGTTGATAAACTTTTGGTACCTCATTTAATTACTTGAGCAAGATTTTAAATTAATTATTACTTTGTAGTTTTTCTATCATCGATTATCAATTATATATACATATAATCAAACGGAAGTGTCTCATAACACACCCACCATCATTCATTGTCTTCAGCGTCCGCCGCCTCTCAGACTATCTTAATCAGTTTTCTCGTTGGTAAGTTTTTAATCCTGTTTTATAGTTTAAACTAACAAAACAGTATCTATAATCTATACAACTTTAATACTACTATGATTTGCGATCTTTCATCTTTCTTACATATGAAATGTAATAACACAGAAGTTCAAGTATATGATCCTTGACAATATTTGTGATTGAAAATTGTTCGTTTTGTAAGAACAATGGTGTGTATGTAATTCAAATGTAGTCTTTTTGAAAACACGATGACTTTTCATCACAAGTACAAAAAAATGTAGAGAAATTAATCAATCACTCAAAACAATATGGTTGATACGAGCTTTGACAATATTGAGTTTGAAACATTGCAGTGAAGCGGAGTCTAAAGCCTAAATGGATCTCGACCAAAGTTTAGGTGGAGCAACTGAGCTGTTTGAAGCTCAGGCTCATATATACAGACACATTCTTAACTATATAAATTCTATGGTACTTGGTTGTGCTCTTGAATTAGGCATACCTGATATCATTCATGATCATCAAAAACCAATCACGCTTCAGGAATTGGTCTCGAAGCTCAATATCTCCGTTGAGAAAACCCTTCATTTGAAACGGCTGATGCGCCTGTTAATGCACTCCAACTTCTTTTCAGTCGCCAAGTTTCATGATGAAGAAGGTGAAGATGAAAAAGAAGGGTATGTTCTCACAGTTTCTTCAAAGTTGCTACTCAAGAATAATAGTTCGCCAAACATACCAAACTTATTACCATTTGCCAGTCTGATGGTTGATCATGTATATGTTAGTACTTTCCAATCCCTAGGAAGGTGGTTTAATAGAAATGAATTAAATGCGTTTGAGACTGCTCATGGAACTCATATATGGGAATTTGCTGACAAGAACCCAAGATTCAACCAACTTTTTAATGATGCAATGGCAAGTAACTCTGAAATGATGAAGTTGGTGGTAAAAGAGAATAAAGAACTCTTTGAAGGTGTGGATTCATTAGTTGATGTTGGTGGTGGAAATGGAGCGAATGCTAAGATTCTCCTTGAAGCATTTCCTCACTTGAAATGTACTGTTTTTGAGCTCCCACATGTTATTGCATACATGGTGGATACTAAAAATCTCAAATATGTTGGAGGTGATATGTTTCACTCTATCCCATCTGCGGATGCGATCATTTTGAAAGTACGTATTGTACGCTTCTATGTCATTTCAAGCTTTTATGATAGAACAAATCTACTAATTAACGGAATTCTTTTTATGGTTCTCGTAGAATATTTTACATGACTGGAGTGATGAAGACGTGTTGAAGATACTGGAAAGATGCAAAGAAGCGATTGCGGTTTCTCCAAGTGATGGGAAAAAAGGGAAGGTAATTATCTTAGACATGGTGATAGGTGATTCAGATGACCATGAACGCCATGAGATAACAGAAGCCAAGCTGTTCTTTGACCTCAAGATGATGGCTTTGGCTACCGAAAAAGAGAGGACCAAAGACGAGTGGGAGAAACTCTTCCTCCAAGCGAATCTTGATCAATACAAGATAACTCACATCTCTGGCTTGATGTCTGTCATTGAGTTATTCCCGTAGATTTTTCCTGTATGGTGGGTTTTGTGGCTAAAGTTTTCAAAGTCTATTTTACTTGCATTTGAATAAGGTCCTCGGGTTGTCAAAATTCAAAAATATGTAAATAATGTTCTTGAACAATGTCCAGCTGGATGTGTTACATTGGTATGATTTTGCTTAGCTGTATACTAATAATTTTTTTAGAACGGCAAGTACCAACTATCCTACTGATATATCTATACATTTTGTCTCCGGCGAGACTAAACCCTCAAGGCCAAGGGATACCTTTCTGGTCAGGCGAAAACATTAGAAACGTCACAATTTACATTCAAAACATTGACAATTTCTAATATTAACTTATGCTTGCCTTGTGATTTTTAAGGAATCATAAACCAATGTACGCTACATGAATACTCCCATGTATCAACAAATTAACTCTATGCCTACGACAAGAGTCGTCGCTACAAATTAAGCTTACCAACAGCATATCGTCGGTATAGAGTAGGCCAAAGTTTTTTTTGACCAGGGTATCTATGTCGACGGCTTGTCATCGCTAAGCGGGAAACGAAAAGGGTTTACGTGGTTTTCTGAAAACTTACCCCAACAACATGCCGTTGGTATAGGTTATGAAAATATATTTTATATTTATTTATAATTCATATTGCAGAAAACGGAAAACGATGGCATTTTTGGAAAGCTATCCTAAAGACATGTCGTCGGTATAGAGGACATGTGATCTATGTGACGTGTATCCCGACAACATGTCGTCAGTACGTATGTTTATTTATTGGAAAGTAAATACTTTATGACTTGATCTTCAGGATGATCGAATCGTTGATGCTAAGGAGACGGGCTTGATGATTAGAAGAGTTATGGGTGGGATGAAACAACAGGGTAGGGTAGAGCAAAATAGTTTTTCTAGAGTTAGCCATACTTGTCGAGCCATTGTGTCTTTCTTCATGACCATGTTGAGGAGGGCATGAGAGAGATGGTGGACTGGATCCACATTTTAACAATGGAATTGACTTTCTTCCATTATGGATTCACCGGTTTTGGTGTGGATGCATTGTAAGTCGCATTAATGTGATTAAGAACATCGTATCTGTTGCGGTAAGTGGAGATTAGTCCTCTCCAAGAATCGTAGTTTAATCTCCCAAGATCGAGGATGATTGGGATATGAGCCTTGATGTTAGTGATCCAGAAGGCTTTTTGTAGTGCGTCTATTTCAACCATCGAATATGGAAGAAGAGACATGGATTAATGACTCATTCATTTACGTTACTCATTCTATTACATGGTCAATTCCATTCTTTTTTTTATTTTATTTTTTTAAATTTTGTTCATTCGTACCAAACAAATCCAATAACTTGATAGATTTTGGCAAGCCATACCTGACATTTTTTGTGGTTGGTATGATACGCGAAAGAATAAGCTTTCATCACTTATTTCATGCACCTTTCAATTTTTTCTTTCTTTAAAATTTAGTAAATTGTACCCACAATTATATTTTTTTATGGATCCACAAAAAGAAAATTTATAATTTATAAAGCCTGAAAAACCTCCGTAAAGCACAATTTTATAGCATAGTTCACAGCCGAGCCATGATTTTAGAATAAAAGGGCTTATATATATTGTAATTAAATCTTTACCACTAGGACTAAAAGTATATTTTGATTTTTGAAGTTGGTTGGTCCAAGTTTAATATATAATCGATCTAATATCATCACACTGGTGACTTGGATAGTTTTACATCGAAGGTGCTTCTTGGGGATCACGAATCAAAGAATCTAAGTTTAACTCTTTTAAATTTCAAATATCAATCAGATTCAACATTAATTGGCTTTTTCATATTACTATTCCTTTTAGGTTGTAGGTATATGTTATGAACATCTACCCTACTATTATCACTAACAAGATGTGGTTGTAAGTCCTGAACATTTTTTTTTTCGTTTGAAATAAAAATCGATGGTTCTTTTCTTGTTCATGTTTACCTTATGATTATAGAAATCATAAAAATTAAAAAAACAAATCATAATATTATCATTAATAGCCTGTTCAACAAAAATATTAACCACAAATTACACGCAAAAAAATAATATTATCATTAATTACAAGCTATATTGTTCAACAAAACTATTAACCATACACAAAACTTAAATATGTATTAACATATAAGAACTGGAAATTACTTTTTTTATAAATTGAAATTGATAAAAGAGAGTGATGATGAATATAATTGCATCAACCTCATTGACGATGATTTGTAATTGTCGATTTTGTAGTAGCCGACGTAGGTTTGTAATTGTGTTTGTTATTATGTGTAGGTAATTTGTAGTTGTCCAACTTAAACTAATTGGGGTATAGAGAGGGCCAGTGGAGTTGGGATGATTTTTTATTTTGGGCTTAAAACAATTAAATGAGATTTTTTACTAATATAAGCAAAATAAGAGAGCCTTTGGGGTGGACCTGTTAGTCCCCTTACTCCTTCCGTCCGTGGAATAGTTGAATGAGATTAAATATTTTATTAGCATTTAATGGATTAAAACTCAATCATTATGTAACTAGGTTAAAACCCGTGGAACCTACGGGTGTTAATTTTAAATAGAATTAAAAAAAATTGATTATGTAATAAAATAATGTATCATTAATTTAGAAAATCATATGAATTGTAATATTGTATTTTTTTTAACAACTTTGTAATTTGTAAGTATTTAATTACACTATAAAAGAAAGTGAATTCTATTTCATGCATTTCGCACATTAAAATAGTATACAGTTTATTAAAGTACAACCCCTTCCAATATTAATTGAGTCCAGAAAAGAAACATGTAGGAAAAAGAAAAAGTTGTGTGTGGCTATGTCACTATGTGTGTGAACGTATGTGTTATAACCAGTTAAAGGGAGTGAATTATAATTTCACTCCCTGAGTTTAGACACTTTTTTTAAAAAAAAATTGGTCCATAAAAAGAATTGCATTACAACTTTGATATACCATGTTCCTCTCAATAGAAGTATTATTTTTTGCATTTACATAAAAGGCTAAATGCAAGAAACTCTTAATATAAGAGTCACCATTATCAATTCCCTTTTAAGAAACTCAAATCTGTAGGATACATAACACTTAAAACAACAATAAAAAACCACCAATTATCATCCTCCATTATCATACACTAGAGTTGATATAAATCCTACCCTTTTAACACCTATGGTCAAAACTTAAAAGAAAACCAACATTAACATAAACTTAAACCCCAATTTTAGAAATAAATAATAGTGTCTAACAATTTTGTAATCTAAATCCAAAGGAGGGTCTAACATGGTTTAAAAGAATCAATGTTTGAGATTTGAGCTTATTTTGTCAATAATTTCCATAGGGGACTGTTTTGGTCAAATTCATAAAGTAGAGGGGCTGAATTGGTCGATTAGACCAAAAATTGAAATTGGGGGAAAAGGGGTCAGGTCTCCGTTTTCTTCAATTTGAGAAAAAGAAACAACCGATCGAAGAAAGGGCTCCAATGGCGTTTGATCGGGAAAAGAAGCAGGGGGGATCTTTGGGGTTTCGCTGGACCGAAGGAAGAAGAAGAACGAAGCAGGAAGCTACTGTCGATTCTTGGTAAGTGAAGGTTTGAGGAGGTGAGCACCTCCGATGTTCGAATGGTCCGCAGAAAAGGGAGAAGCAGCGAGCTTACTTCTTTTCTACTCTTGCAGTAAGATGCGAAGGAGGATGGGGGAAGGTGGGCGTCGATATATATATATATATATATATATATATATATATATATATATAATATATATATATATATATATATATATATATATATATATATATATATATATATATATATATATATATATAGAGGGAGGGGGAAGGTCTTCGGTCCTCAGTTGGTCCGAGAAGAAGAAATACGATTGAAGGTAGGAAGTGGGTCGGTGGTGGTAATCTATCGCAAATAGGGAGAAGTCGAAATATTGCGACCTCCTTGTGGTTGCTCTCTTTGTCAGCAGTAGTAAACGGAAGGGGTAAGGACGAGACAGTGAGGCTGCTCTTCTTCTACTCCTGTTAGTGTGGTGCGAAGGAGAAGAAATGTTGCCTCGTGGTTTGGCTGGAAATCTCCACCTCCGGTGGAGGTTTTATCGACTGAAAGTGACGGAGAAAGAGGGTGTGCCTCTATTGCTCACCGGGAACAGCCATTATGGTGTTTGGCTTGCTTCGATCAACAACAAAGAGGCTGCTGCCTCCTCAATTTTACAGAAAAAAAAAATAACAACTTGTGGGGTGTTGCTTGGCAGTTCATGAAGCAGAAAAACAAAAGAGACATGAGAGATAGTTTGGTTGTTTGTTTTGGTTGAATAAAGGTGAAGGATTTCTGCTAATACGGTTGATTATTTGTGTTTCTAATATGTATATAATTTTGATTGATAATTGAAGCAATACCTTTGACAAGATATTATGCAGATTTTTGAGTGTGAGGGAAGCTTTTGAGTGTAAAATTGTATATTATATGATCTTCTTCCCGTTTGAGTAGATTTTACATGATTTGATTGTATTCCTTTATGCAATTTTGTTTTTCCAGGGCTTGTAGAGGCTGCAGCTCTTCCATATCTTAGTATTCAAATTGGAGAATGAAGTGTTGATGAGAAGGCATAAATACTCTTTATTGCTCAGGCGTATGACTTTTTAATTTTATTTTACTATTACATTGCTGAATTAACTTATTATTAATAGATTAAGTTGTCTTGTTTGTTTATGTTTTTCAGCTTCACAATAGTTGTTTTACTTGCAACACTTTATAGTGTCACCAACAGAAGTGGACAAAAAGACTTGTATAGCTATGGTAATTAATTAATTATCACTTTATCAGTCATAAGTCATAACTCATAACTGAAAACATACTGTTTTTTTGTTACAAACTTATTGACATTTCATAAAATTAATTTTCCAGATTGGAGGAATCCTTTTGATTTTCAAAAAGGATGGCTTTTGTGGGCTGGAATAGGTCTTGTTGAGCCTTGATTACTATCTCACTTAGTGGAGTTGTCATGGCCTTTTTCAGTGGTGAGTCACCTCAAAGAGAGGTCAGTCAATCTATATATTAAATAATTAAAAACGTTATTTAGAAATTTATATTTTTAAATATATGTACTTCTATTTTTTTAACCATT